AATCAGTGGTCAAACAGAGAAGAATTGTGGATCGAACAAGTGCAATTTTAGGGTAGGGTGAAAAAGGGAATCGGACCAAATTGAATTATGGATCAAACCGAGTCGATTTATGGGTGGAAAATAGTCAAACCATGGGTCGAACAATTGCGAATTATGGGTCCAAGAGTGTCGAATTGTGGGTCAAACCAGCTCGATAAAATTGAACAGGGTCGAATTATGGATCACGTTGAGTCAAATCGTAGGTCGAACAGGATCGATACAATTGATGAGGGTCGAGTCACGTGTTAAACATTGAGATCAAACAAAGGCCGAAACCGAATCAGGTCGAAATTTCTCGATAGACTGAAACATGAATGAACCATGAATCAAACCTGATCACATTATGAATCGAACAGAGCTGAATCATGGGTGAAAAAGGGTCAAATCCTGCAGAAAAGTGTGTATACTGGGCTGAGGTACTCGACTCTTGATTCGAGCAAAAGCAGTAGAATGCTGGCTCTTTTTGTCGCAAATTGAGAAGGTCACAGGAAGTCTTAAGTCAAACTCTGTGGAACGAAAACTGTAGAAATTTGAATCAAACAGAGTCAATTTATGGGTCGAACTGGGTCAAACCATGAGTCGAACAAAAGTCGAACCTTGGGTCAAATTGAGTCAAATCGTAGATCGAACAGTGCCGATACAATTGAACAGTGTGGAATCATGGGTCAAGCAGAAACGAATCGTGGGTTGAGCAGGCGCGAATCATGATTCGGAAAGGCTCAATAAAATAAACATGGTCGAAACTTGGGTCAAATAGAATCAATCAAATCTGAGGTCAACTTGGGTTGAATCATGGATCTCATAGAGGAGAATGATTGCGCGTTAAACTTGGCCGAACCTTGAGTCAAACAAGATCAATTAAACAGATAGGGTCAAATCATCATTCAAACAGAGTGGATTCGTACGTCGAACAAGGTCCAATCAAGGGTGGAATAGGGTCAAACAGTGGGTCGATTAATTTGAATCATGGAAATTAAGGATCAAACAAGATTGATAATACTGAATAGCATCGAATCATCGGTCAAATAGAGTCAAATTGTGTGTCGAACAGGGTCGAATCATGGGTCATTTAGGGTCAGGTTGGAAGCATGGGTCAAATGATGGCTCGAGCAAAATTTGAATCATGAGTCTAGCGAGGTCTCAAATGATGGGTCAAAAGGGTCGATTCATGGGTGAACCGGGATCGATAGAGTAGGTCAGGGTCGATTCATGGGGCTAACTTGGTCAAATCAGGGGTCCATTCCAGTGTGTTTTCTGATTAACAGGCCGCCATGAGAAGGCCTACATTTAGTCCCGTCGTCAAAAATTAGCAAAATTTTTTGGGTCAACGAAAAAATTGTCTCTACACATGCGTAAAAATTGATTGGCCAATCTGAGAACAAGAAAACGAATTGATCAAACCAAAGTATGACTGCCACTCATACTGAAGTAGCTCTTGTTTTCTGTTTTCTAAAAAACAATTAAAAATTAAATGCAAATTTTGTTTCGCAATCTTGTTCCATTCACTTTTAAGTACAAGTTGGAACTGTTCGAAAACTTTATATAGAAAAGTAAAGTTTTTTTGGACATTTAAATTTCCTCAGCTCAATTGGGAATGCTTGTTGGACCGAACAAAGTTTCTTCCCCCGACCCACTACGCTATAAAAAGTCTAGTAAATAGCTCCGAAATAAATATCTTAATTTTACTTGGAATCCTAACGTGTAAAACTTTTACAGATGAAATATATAGTTTTTCATCTTGAGCTCAAGTAAAAACTTTGTATTCAATTGCACAAACTTTTTGTGAATACTGCTACTTGAAAAATTATATGGTTTTTTGTCCGACTTTCAAAGAAAAAGAAAAAATGTTTTTAATCCTGGCGTTATTTTTTTCTCAAGGTAGGTTTTGGCTCTGGATTTCGCATTTTGGAGGAGTTGTCCTAAACCGGTTCACAGTATGTTTCAAAACATTTTCACTAAATCATTAGCAAAAAACCGACTAATAAAAACATCAAAAAAAATAATGTTTTTTAACTTTTTTTTCTCTAAATTTTCATTTAATTTTTTGGGCAATGTAATTTAGGCGATGGAAGTTGTTGATTATTTTGATATAGAAGAGATTAAGCGCACTCTCATTTTATCTAGAAAAATGCAAAATTAGTGCTAGCTTAAGGGTGCAAGGTATTTATTTTGTTTAAGATTATTACACATGTCAGGCGGAGTGTCGTGATTTTTTGCTAAGTTTTCATCGAGTAATCTCAAGTTTTAAATGTTTATTGATATCTTTTCTCGCAAAAAAGCCGAGGTTTTTTTTCCGCAATTTTAAGCGTTTGCCGTGAACATCAGTTATTTAAATTCTTTGGATTCCCCTACGCGCGTGAGCATTTGGTTGCTGAAGCTTGAATATTGTGAGCTCAATACAATTAAGCACAAGATCAGAAATACCTGAAAATTTTTATTGATTTGTTAGTCTACATACGTTTTGTCTCGTTTTGACAATTTGGGGGAAATTTTTGACAGAAAACAAAGTTATTTTTTTTATAATCTTGACAGTTTTGCAAAGATTAGTTTTCGCTATAATTGATCGCATTTTTCATTGCTTGAGCAGAAAACTAGTTTAGGCGACTATATATAAATTGCGTGAAAAAAAGGTGCGTTTCTCTCAATTTAGTTGAGACTAAAAATGAACAGACCAAAAACGGCTTGAATTTTTGCCAACGTTTTCATTGTGAAATTTTTTGTGCGGATTTTCCAATCATAATCTAAAACGGGTCAAATCATTTGAGCCTTTTTGCCGCCCAAATTAAAAACCAATTGAATTGACTCGTTTTAAGGAAGTATCTTTGGTTTGAAAATCCGCACGACAAATTTCACCATGAAATAGTCGTAAAATTTTAAACAATTTCTGTCCTTTTCATTTTTTGTTCTAATTTAACCCAGTTGGAGAAAAACAGGATTGAAGTTTTGATTTTTTAAAACTTTATCCGATTCTTTCTTATCAATGCTATGGAAAAAAATTCAGCTCAAAGTTCAAGGTAACTTCAATCATGCTCAAAAAGATGTGTAAAAAAACAATCCAAATCAATGAAGTATGTCATTAAAAGTTTTTGCTGCATTCATCGACCCCTGTATCTGTGGAAATGAGATAGGACTCACAACAGGCGTCTTTCGAAAAAACTTTTTTCTACCAATGGAATGGAATTTTTTTATACTATTCGAAAGGTATTGTTGTCCTGAGCTCTAATTTGAAAAGATATTTTACCTGTGATTATTTTTCGTTAAAGTTACGGAGGTTCAAAGATTGCAATTTTGGCCAATTTGGGACAATTAACGCGCGATATTTCGCGCTATTAACGCGTGAGCGGAGAGTTAATCCGTCTTAGAAATCGTTCCAAATTGGTTGAAAGAAGCTTATGTGCCATAATTGGTTTGTTACAAGGAGCGAAATCTATCCTTTTAAACTTTATATGGCGTGTGGGGGGATGATTTTAAAAAAAAATTCAAATTTTAGAAAAAAAAATTCATTTTTTATATTTCATTGAATTTTTTTAACGTTATTACCGCTCCATAAACCTTAAAAGGCAGTCGGAACAATCAGGGCTTTGTTCTGTTACGAGCAGTCTTGATGTAAGTGTTTTCGAAAGGAAGAGAATAACAAAGCAGAACAGATTCCAGTACAAAATGAACTGATCAACCACAGCCAAAAAAGCAGACAGTTCGATAAAAGTTTTCATCTGGATTCCCCGCCCGCTAAGGCATGACAGTCTAAATGCTAAAACATGGCTTATAAAAAACAAACTTTTAATCCATATCTTGTAAGAAAATAAAACAGCCACGTTCCTTCTGGTAAAACAGCCACGTCACGCAATTACCCATGTCTCTTGAAAATCACGGCCGATTTTTTATTTTTTTTTGCATGCGTGTTATCGGTACTTTCAAAAATCGAATTCCACAGTATTTTAGTTTTCCGGTGGGCGACGGTTATTTCTCCGTACAAAAAAATCTGGTCACAACATCTGTAAAAATCCCTCTTAATGCGGCTAACTACATACACCGGATAGCCGTTGTCCCAGAATGCTCTCAGAGAAAAAGTTTTGATTGAAGAAAAAAGTTTACAACCTTTTTTCTAAATTTCCCGTCAGTTTTTCAAAAGAGGCAGTTGCATTAGCATTTTTTTGATAAAATTTGCATTTCAGACTGTATGTAGCAGGTAAATTAATTCAAACTCAAACGTTTTTTTTAAATATGTAAATTAAATTAAAAGTTATTATAATTACAGCCAATTTTTGTCGAATTTTTTCCCTGGTGGTACCTCCAGAAAAATTGCTGAAAGTCGATTTAATCAATTCACCAATCATTATAAAAACTTAATAGCATCAGTTTACGCGATGCGAACCATCTCCCCCTAAAAAGACCAAGTGAACAATCTCCCTTCTAAAATTAAATGGCAAATTGAACCAGTAAGGCTGCATGTATTAAGCTCAAGACTGATTGGCCTGCAAAATTATCCTTTTTAACCTCGTGAACTATCTTACCCCTATTTTGATTTAGGGGGAGATATTTCCCTTGTTCCTTTCAGCGCCAGCACGCACTTTTTGTTCTGTGGTTTGTTAACTTGTTTATTCTACATATTAAATTTGTTACCCTCTTTGTACCCTGTTGTACCGCCTCTTTGTACACTGCATTTTTCTACGAGTTTGAAACCAAAAACTGCAACTGATGATTTGCGTTTTTTGACGACTTGTACTTTTGAACCGAAAGCCCGCTTGAAATTTTGGGCTTAACTGCTGAAATGTCTAATTGCTTAATTGCTGAAAATTCGAGCTGAATTTTCAATTTAAAGAAGAAGATTTTCTGAAACATGAAGATTTAAACTGAAGCTTTAATTTAAGATGTTTTTTGACAAGCAGTTTGATTTTGACCTCACTTAATAATTTATTGCTTGAATGGGCCCAAAATTTGATTTGGTTGTTAGGGTCAGTCTATTCTTCGTCGTCGCTGCTTTCCGAGCTACTTTCACCCCCTCTAAACCCTCGGCTCTCATTGGGGAGTACTCCTCGGGTGGTTTTGAGCTGCAGTCGGGGGGAGACGGAGGGTAGGAGGAATGCAGCGTATGAGGCACAGAGTACCCCCACTATACTTCCAGCCAGTACATCAGAGGGGTGGTGTTTGTTGTCACTCACTCTGCTGAGGGCTGAAAATAACTATAAATTGTTTAAAAAAGAACATGAAAATTTTGGTTATAGAAAGTAGCAAAAACATGTAACAGAGAAACAATATTTTAAAAATAAAAAACCTTAAAAGAGAACTGTATGATTAAGTTAATTTATCATACAGCGTTTGTATCGCCAAAATAGCAAGTTTGCATGCAAAATCTACCGAAAATTAACGGATTGTTTTTTCTGACTGTTCCAAACTTCTGGCTTTTTATTGTATGTTTGAAGTTAATGCCAAGTTGTTGGTGATTTGTTTTCTGGTCAAGGAGCCAAGCTAAATTGTCAAATAGTGGAATCTCTTAATTTTGATTAAACAAAAGTTTGAAAAAAAATTGAGCCAGTTACTCAGAGCGCGGGGGGTGCCTCAGGTTTCTCAGATTTTTGCTGTTGGCTCATAACGTTTGCCTCGAGTAGGTTACATCTCTGTAATTTCATACCATTTTGCACGATTGCGAGCGAGATTAGTAGCGGTAACTGAGGGATATGAAAGATTGACGCGTGGACTGTAAGCAAAAGTTGTCTACAGGACTGTTCTGTTCAAACCCTAGCGTGTAAGAAGCAAAACAAATCGATATGATCAAAAATATGTACTATTTTGAAAGACCTTCCAGATACAGTGTTGATTTGAATTAACCGGACAAAGCGAACAACATTGAAAACTTAAACGCGTTTTTCTCAAAATTGGTTAAGATTAGACAAAAGTGAAGAGTACAAAAATTGCACAGAATTTCACCAGAATTAGTATGGTGCAGTTTTTCCCCAAAATTCTGAGCCAAAATTTTACCCCAAAAATAGGTCATTTTGGCGATTTTTATTCAATTAAGAATTACACTGAAACGGCTAAATTAATGGCTCATAAAATTAAGAAAAAAAACTTCTTACACTGCCAAACAAAATTTTAGAAAGGTATTACTTTCAAAAATCTTTTTAAGAGAATAATATTTTGGTTGATACCCTAAAAACCATTTTCACAATATACAAATCAAAATCTTTGGTTAAAGACAAATTTCAAACGTTTTACGAAAACTTTTGAAAATTTTACCCTTCTAAAATTTTGTTGGGCTGTGTACGAGGTTTTTTTGTTATAATTTTTTATCAAAAAACCTGGTAGTTTCAGTTTAATTCTCGATTCAGCAAAAAAAAACATAATGACTTATTTTTGGAATAAAATTTTGGTTCAGAATTTCGGGGGAAAATGTGCCATAAAAATTCTGGTGAAATTTTGAGCAATTTTGTTCTTTTCACTATTTGTCCAATCTTGAACCAATTTGAGAAAAAAGGGTTTGAAATTTCTAATTTTGTTTGTTTGTCCGGATAATTTATATCAGCACTGTATTTTATTGAAACAAATGATACATTTTTAAACAGATCAAACTTAAAAAAAGAGAAATTGTTAAACTTTTTGTCTTTTTTGGGCTTGAACTGACTCCTCTTGTTTTCTATTATTTTCTAGCCAATTGCCCTGCCAGTGCTTGCTATGAACACAATTAATGGCAACAAAGACAAGAGGAGAGAATGAATATCTAATTATGTAAAGTCATTCAAATGATAACTATAACAAAAGTCGAAAAACAAGGTTGTGGAACCTGATCTAAACTACATTTTATGATTGGATAAATTAGATATTTTACCAATGTAAAGTATTTAATATTAACCAATCATGATCCATCTAACTAACAACCCACTTATTTGTAAGTGCTGAAGTTACTTGTAATTTCAGCACCAGAGAGATTTGAATTTAACTTAGAAATTAGTTGGACTCTCCCGAGCACTTCAACAGCCGCAATAAACCAGTATACCCTAGATCTATTGAGCCTAGCAGAGACTAGTTAAACAACCTGAGACTAGATAGTATAAGAGTAAGATTAGGATCGGTATTAGACTAAGAAGTTGCACGAATCTATCCGGCCGAAAATAAGATAGCGTGACGAGCAGACGGTGTACCCTATCCGAAATTACTCTATGAGTTAACCAACTCGGTCCTAACTCATCTGGTGCGACCATAAGTCTCGAACAAGACCTTAATAGCTTAGAATTAACCAAAATAGATTAGAAATTAGACAAAAACATTTAAAAAATGTTATACGACAATAATTTAATCGAAATGTCTCTACGACTCAATAGATCAGAGCCAATATTCCGAACCATAACAGAACTACCCGGAATTGGAAGAAGACCTCGAACCAGAGACGACATACGACAAAGTAGAAACTTGCCATATAGCTATATGATAGTTAGGCAAAAACCAGAACAAACTTTTATATTTAGAATATTACTGGCAATGAATTTAGATTTTCATTTGCAAACATAAAACCTTGAAGTTAATCTTCAAAATCATTTCAGGCGCTAAACAAAATTATTAATATACAATAACGATTGATAAAAAGATCTAAGATCGTTTTCCTAAAATTCTGCAGTAATATACAAAACATGTTTGAAAAATATTTATTGAAAAATAAAAAATAAAAATTAGTAGCATGACAATAAATGGTTAGTAATCATAAATCATCCTGTTGTTCCAGCTCCATCACCTAAAACATAACAGCAATCATAAACCCACTAATATCATCAAAACACTAAAACTTTCCTTTACACATATTTAAAATTTTATTAAAACTTAAATTCACTTAATTTTAAAACCAGATCATCAAGGCTTATCCTTGGATCTTAAATCATTTTCTACTTAATTAAATTTCAAATTTGATCATCAAGGCTTATCCTTGGATCAAACAGAACAACTTTGTTCTCCCCCACCCACTTAATTAGTGTCTAACGACCTCAAACGTCGATTCACTACCCAACCCTTTCTAAAGACCTAAGACTAATAGAAATTTTTAAACAAAACTAATCATTCAAATTAGGATAAACAGTGAAGAACTTCGGTTATTCATCCTTCACTTGACCCCCCCTCTTAACAGACCCAGGATAAATCTTAGACTTAGTAAGTTTAAAATAGTATCTAACGAACTACTCGCGTTCTAATTATACCTGAACCTTGTGGATCGATTTACTATTCTCCAACCCTTGAACACAATCACTACCCCTAAGTAAGATTAAGTAAGTTAACACCTTAACTTATACTAGCCACGAGAAAGTAAAAAATCATTCTTCGGAATCGATATACTTTTCTCTCCAACCCTGAACAAACAGACCCAGGTTAAGCTAACCAAAAAATCGTAAGAACTAACAGTTTAAGAAAATAGAAACCATTTAACAACCTTTTGCATCCGTCATCCTAAACCTTATGTCATTTAAAAACCTAGGAAATAAACAAACAATCGTTTTACACAATTGTGAAATAGATAACAAAAAATACGACCTTGTAATCACACCTCATACACAAACAGTTGGATACATTCGAACAAAACGACAAACACTAAAAAGAAAAATAATAACGAAACAAAGACAAATAACACGAAAAAGATTTTCAAAAAATCGAAACGCATTTTCAGAATCAGAAACCAACAGTTTAGACGAACTTTACAAACTAAAAGAATCAATAGATAAAAATTACCCACTTCACGATCAATTATATTTTTCTGACTCAGAAACAACTTCAAATTCATCAAAAAGAGGAAAAAGAAGAATAAAAAAGCAGTATAAACACAAACCAGTACATTTATACAATTGGAATCAACCAATTCGACACATTAATAATTACATATTAACAGTCATCGAACGAAAAAATGAGCTCAACGCACACCCCAGGTGAAGAAAGTCCAGATGATGATGAAATCTTTCCTTTTATAGTAGATGCAACCACTGATAGAGGACAGCATATATTTTGCAAAAATTTATTATTAAATTTATCTGAACCCGGAATCAGTCCATGTAAAACAGAATTCCCAGATGTAAAAATCAAAAGACAAATCATAGACCACTACTTAAAAGATATATGCAACATAACACAACAGTATGGAATCTACTCCATAGAATTCACCTCACCAAACCATAATAATAGAAAATATACAATTCAAACAGACGATCTTGATTTAGAATTTTCAAAAGTTTTTTCAGAATAAATAAAAAGCATCCAATATCATAACTCACAAAGAGCAAACTCCATATTCACCAATGAAGTTTTCGCAATAATATATAGTTATATTTCGATATTAGAAAACGAAATCCCAATAACAAATGTCTCACCCACAGAAACATCTAAACATTTAAGAGTACGACATGAAATCACACTACTCTCTAGTTATTTAAACATCATTAAAGAAAATTTCACGAAAGACGACGTTTCACAACATACAAAACACGATCTACAAAAAATTTTGGCATGGTTCATAATAGATTATTTCACACACAATATTGATTTAATTGCACAAGCAAGAAAAAATTTTAGACCCCAAAACTCGAACGATGATACCGCTATCACAGAACAATCAGATTATGTTTGGGACCCCGAATGGTCTCATCCCGCATTTATAAGCTTCCCACAAACAATCTCAAGTCAAGCAATAAGTACGATATCTTACATAAGAGATTATGTAAAAGTAATACCATTAACCATTGATGCAACACCATTAAACTATAATACATTTTTGCCCGATACACAAAATAATAGTTTAAACTCTACAGTTATACACAATGAAAACCTCAATGGAACTAGGAATCTTACTCAACAAGATATCCAGACACCATCACACTTCATAAATGAAGAAATTGTACACACAACAACTACACAACAAAGTATTTCACCAATACGCCCAAATTTAACAACACCAAGAAATACAAATCCTTCACAAACACAGGTAACCTTACAATCAACCGTTAAACCTTCGGTTGCCCCTAAATATTCACATATGGATTACCAAACATACAGACCCATGACAATACCATCAAAAACACGCAAAACATTCACTAGAAACAACTTTGCAGACCATAATTATAATTATACACATCCATCAAAAACATATAACCAACCACAAAGAAATTTTAACCAATATACAAGATCTCGAAATTGGGATAACCC